CATGCTTCTTAAATACCGATCATTGCGGTTAAAAGTCAATGAATACGACGCCTTTGTTTATCTTTGATATCTAACAGAATTTATATGAATATTATAACGTATTAAATTAATATTCTGTTGTTTTCTTCAGTCGAAGAAAAAAAAAAAGAATATTTATTCGATTAAATTAGATAAAATTTTCATAAATTGATAATATTCTTAAAATATCATGAAGAAATATCTTAGATTTGAAGAAAATCTCTAAAATATTAAGCAAAATAAATAATTCCTTTAAAAAAATTTAAATTAAATGTTTCGTTGATGAAATAATAAGATTTAATATTTCGATAATCTTTCGATATTTGAAAATTGAGTTAATTCGTCAAATCACGTTAATTTAATTTCAATTTCACCGAGCTATATCAAGCATTAGATTTGTTAAATGAGTTATTATCGCGATATTCTTGCAATTAACAGAAAATTCAACCTTGTATCGCAACAATTAGGATGCTTATTATAAAACAGTTTGTCATTATTTCAACGTACGCGTCCTTAGTTAATACTTACCTTATGCAGGATATATTGCACCGACGAGGTCGAGGCACCTTCTGTCCTAATTCTACTTCATCGACATAAGCCTTTATAAGTAAGTTGAGTCATCTTCTCGTTAGCCCCTACTTTGTCATACACCTTAATTTTTTCATTGAAATTGACGCGTGATCGATCAATAGGAATAAAAATTATATTATTGTATGTAACCAATAATCACGTATATATATTTTCAAATCTTATTTCTTTTCGCAAGATCCGCAACTCATCTCTAGTTTGATTAATCAGTAAATTAAATCTAAATCAAAGGATAAGGAATGAAAGAGAAATGAAGAAGGAAGAAATATAAATTACAACGGAAATATAATTGCAAACTTTATTATTACAACAATTATTGCCAGAGGAAGATCTCCCTCGAGGATCGAACGAAATCTTCCCACGTAAGACTCGGAGACTTTCTATACGAAAGATCACCGATAAGTCCCTCGATAAATAAATAGAACGAAATAATAATTTATTCACCCTTATATCGTACATTGTCGTTGCGATCGGCTGTGTACAAATAAAATGAGGTATCAAGATTCTGAACTCTCGAAGAAAATACAAGAGTATGCACAGGATCGCACGCGCCATAATAAATGCATCGATGTACATGATAAAATCTGGCATTTGTAAATCTGTATGCGTGTGTGAACATGTGTAAGTATTCGTGTGTACATATTTATAATATACAAACATATATACCTCTGTTTATACATGCACGTAATATCCCCTAGTAAATATATATATATACAGCAGTGATAACGCGATTTTTTTCTTTTTTTTTTTAGAAATTTTCGAGGAACGTCGTGAAAAACACTTAAAAGATATTCAAGCGTACCGAGTTCCGAATGCATAATCGAATGTAAACGATTCCGTTTGTTTTTCTCGATGGTAATACTCGTTGAGCTGGATGCTTGCATTATATTCGAATAGAATCCGAATGGAATCTATCTTCTTTTCATTTGGTTTTCCTTAAAATAATCATCGAGTAACCATTTAATTCGTATGGAAAAGCGCGATTCAAACGAATTAAACGATTTTGAGATATGCATACATTTTATTTTGTAATGAAACTTCTCGAGAAAAAATTTAATCGTAGGATAATAAAGTGAACGATTAAGAATTTCTTGTTGAATTCGATATTGTAAAATTCGTGTATAACTTTCTTTCACTTCATTTATTTAATAAATAGCGCGAAGAATTTAAGATAAATCACTAATCAGATTAATTTAAATTTCAGATAGATCATTGAACGAATATCATGCAATCATTTGAGTATTTTCGATTGGACGATTAAAAATAATAGAACAAGATTTTAAGTTCACGGACTAATCTTAGTGTACAGGGCTAGGATAATATATTAATTCTTTAAATGTACAAAGTGTGCACTGTACACGTATATAGCCACGGAATGAACAATTTTCAATGGATTCACTAGCTGTTTTAAACGACAATAATTATATTAAAAAAAATATTGCTATCTTTTTTCAAATCACTCTTTTCGATTCAAGATTCTACGACACGATTTAAAATCTAGCTGCACATAATCAAAATATCATGTGTATAATATCCAGATTCGTCGAAGAAATGACGAATTTAATAAAAAAAAAGAAGAAAAAAAAGAAAAAAGAAAAAGAAAAGAAAAAACAAACTAAGGAAAAAAACGCACGCAGTCTTTCCGAAAAAGAATTTAAGAAATCATGCGTTTTATCCATCGTTGTCTGTACATTCGAGCCAGAATGAGAGTCCTGCGAGGGAAACTGTAACTTCCTGACGGTACATGGCAGTAAAGTAATAGAAAAATAAATAACTAAATTGTCTATCATCGATTCGAGATGATTTTTATATCATCAATTTATTCAAACTTTTTAAAGAAAAAGTGGAAAAATCTGAAATGAATCCAAAGAATGGTATCTCGAATCGATCTCTTATTCTCTAATATAAAGTGTTCCGAAATTATCTTTTTCTTATGGTATTGTGAATAAAAAACTGTATTAAAAAAAAAAAAATAACAAAAAATAGAATAAAATTAATTGCATTTCTGAGAAGAAATTAATTATTAAAGAATAACAAAAGATTATAACGAAGATGTAATACAAAGAAGAGTATACAATTGAAAAACAATTTTCAATTTCAATTTGCTTTTTTTTTTCACGGAAATGTAAAAGTCTCTTCCGTGATTAGATATTTTCGGCACACCCTATAAATATAGTTTAACACGCACTACTGTATACGCCTGCTTTTTGTGTTGAACTTACATCAACGTCCTAATGCATTTAATTCCGGAAGGGGAGGATTTCTAAATGCGCCAACATCGAGGGTTCACAGGCTCTGCAGTCAATTATCTCTTTCTCTCTCTCTCATACAAATTTGTATTTTGTATTTTTCTTTTCTGTATGATTCTTTGTTTATAACTATCTTCATTTTTGCTTGATTACAGGTGGGTCTGAAACGGGTGTAAATAAAAGAAACCAGGATAAGAAAAAAATTTCGATAAAAAAAAAAAAAAAAAAAAAAAAAGAAAAAAAAAAGTGAAAATAAAGTGCGCCGAGGGTGAAGGATATATGACTATCGATCGATCAATCGATCTTTTTTTAACAAGGATAGTACACGTGAGCCATTTTGAAACAAAACGGATCGATTTTTTCGAAAAATGTATAATTGCTAAACAATTAAATTAAAAAATAAAAAATTGTTAATAATTAAATTAAAATTAATCTTGATTTGTGATATTTATATGGCTCACGTATACGCTCAAATAATAATAAAAATAAGGAATTACCCCCGACATACGAAATCGCGTTTAAAAAGACAACGAAAGACGAGAGACGATAACAGAAACAATCGTAAGAATAATAGTAACTGCTTTATTTAAATAATATCAGTAATCATGGTGAGATAGTAATAATCATAATGATAATGATAATAATCATAATAGTATGTATTGCCGAAATAACTCGGTTAAGTGACAAATTTGTCTTGTAACAGTTGAACGATCGCTCGCATTATGCATTGAATATTTTCGTATTGTTTTCATTAACTTGTCAACGTATGTATAATATTTATACGTTTCCCTTAGTACGCTTCTTAAATGAAGAACAGAAATGGATCGGTTGCGGGGATGTTTTCCGTTTCTTTTTCTTTCGTCTGATAAAAATAGAAAAAGAAATTCTGGTTCCTGAGAAGTTGTTAAAAATAGTAGCAGAATGTTTCAATTAATGCTTAAATTAGAATTTTGTTGTAAGAAAGATACATATTAAACGAGTACAACCGATCCATCACCGTTATTTATCCTTTGTTCGAACCTTTTAACCGAGTAATTCATTTTAGAATTATAAAAATTATTATTATGGATAAAAGATAATAAAAAAAAATAATACCTAGAAATAAAATATGAAAATCCACATTAAACTTATTAAAAAATCAATACCAACGTGGCTCGATTAAAGTTGTAAACATTAGTCATCCGATTGACACGTATTGCTCGGTTAAAGGGTTAATTATTCGAATCATAGCAATTAGCCGTGATTGCAGCTTATAACCTTGTATTTCTTTCTACGCACATTTTCAATGGCACGTTTGGTTTCACGATTTCTTCATAATATTCAGAAATCTCCTCGAAACTACTACGTTTTTCCGAAATTTTATTTCAAAGAGGATTGATTTTCGAGTAATAAAGTCGGAGTAAACATGAACAATCTTCCATCGAAAGCTAATACAATTTTTGTATATAAGACTAATGTAAAAGAAATTTAACGAATACTGTATCAAAGTATTCGTAAAGCATTTTGCAAAATTCGACGAGAATTTCTTCCACTTCTTTACCTTTTTCTTTGTAGAAATTCGAGTCCTCGAGATTCCTCTATAATTTCGTCATCTTTCGAAAACAACGCGAACAGGTAAAAAAATCTCGAGAACTTGAAAAAGAAGCACAAAGAGGAATAAAGTTCGCGAATAATCGCGAAACGATCCGTTCCATAGAATCGCTATTATTTGTCCCGCCAATTCCTTGGCACATTTTCATCAACATTACAAAATCATACGAAGAAGTCTCCCTTCTTCTCGATATTGCTTCGATTAATTCCTTTAACGCGAGGCTTTTCTTATTCGTTCGCACGATTATCAAAAAGTATATATAACGCAATGACTTTGAAGCAACGAAAAAAGAAAAATTAGAATAATAAAATCTTATGCAATTAGTTAAGTAGACACTTAGACGCAAGGCTGATCTACAGTCACGAGAGGATTAAGATCAAAGTTATGCCCGATTATCGTTCGAACCGGTTAAACAGGCATGATTATTTGCTAAGTTTTACGATCGTATATTAAAAAAGATGACCGATAAATAAAAAGGAGCTAAAAATATCGTTTACTCTAACGATAATCAATATCAAAGGAAGAAATTTCTTTTTTTTTTTTAAACGTTTCCGCGTGATCACAGATTTCGATGATAATTTTAATTAATTGCTTTTTGGTTTTCTTCAATTCCATTCATCTTTCTATATACGAAATATACGCGTGAACATCGTTGAATTATTTCTAAAATATTTCGATTCGTCCCATAGCCCCAGTTTCTGTTCATCCTTATGGCTCCCGACGTTGTACGCTCAACACTCTTTGCAAGCTCCTTATGATTGACCCGTTCGTGCCGCCGCGTTTGAAACTCGTTCTCACCCGTGTGTACGACGAAAAGGATCTTCTCTGTTCCACAAGACCCTTCGCAATGTTGTTCGTTTCTTTCTGAATTCGAGCACAAAAAATATCAATTCTTTTCTATCACTTCCATTTCTATTGCTTCCAATGAGAATTCATTCGATTGACTTCGTATAGTTGTGCTTTTAATGATGCAAATAAATACAGTGGAACGATTAAGATTAATCAGATTAGTTGCAAAATGAAAACTGAAATAAGAAAACAGTGGAAGAGGGAACACATCAAAGGGAGAAACAGATAATTTTGATAAATCGAATTAATTAAAAACAGGAGGTTAACGTGAGAGGATTAACACGATCGATCAAAGCACACACGAAACAACATAGATGGAAGATATATGGTATATGCCGGTTTAACAACTTGTAAACGATCATCGTCAAACAATTAAAATATGCGACAAAGAGAAGCGTAAAAAGCGACGGATCTTCGATCTTCGATCGATTGCGCTTAGAGAGAATCATTAATAAATTTTTCCTTTATTTTCTCGTTTAAAACATAATCTTTTTTCTATGAATGTTTTAATAATTACAGAAGAAAGATAAATCTTTCTTATTTTAATAAGATTGGCAACCAATTTCATATTATTGAAAACATTATTATATTTTTTCTTATTTAATTTTAATACAATGATTATCGTAAGATTAGGTATAGGTATAGGATTTTATTTTTATTCAATTGGCACGAAATCTTTTCCAAGCGCATTTCTTTCGATCTTGATCTAAATCTCATCTTAATCCTCCCTGAATTATTACTTGAAGCATCCCTCCAAGTGTGCAAGCATTGAAATCACTCGCAGAACTTGAACGTACGATGCGATATGTTCATTAAAAAAATATCACACTTTCAAGATCGCTAATAAACACTGTTACTGTCCTTTCGTTATAATAGCTACGATATTTATATTATAACAATAATGATAATACCATGATGGTACCCCATGAAAGAGTATCTCGAGTTTAACAAAGCTACGAATTTATCAAGCTTCTGTTTTCCATTTTTTTCTCGGTCATTCAATCTATGTCCACGGGGAGGAATAAAGCTTTTCTTCATCGATTTAACCTTTGAAACGAAAAGGCATAGCAAACGTGACGCGTAAGTTTGTTCCTTGCTTCTTATCGAGTATTTATACCTACTACGTTTCGCGCGAGTCACGTTTCCTCGTTGAAAATCGATCACAATGGAAATAATAGAATTTTCGTTGGAGATGTGAGTGTAAATATCAATTTGTATTCGAAGAAATTTACACTGAATGATTATCGAAACGCATTTGTTAAATGGCTCGTTTATTCATTGTTACTTGCCTTGGATTTCAATGGTTAAATCGTAGATTGAAAAATAGGGAACAAAGTAACACATCGAATTAATTTCGAAACATGCTTAGTATATTGATCACAATATAGAAATAGAAAAAGTAAAAGGAGAGAACAACTACGCTAACTTAAAAAACGAAGTGACTTTTTTTTTTTTACACAAAGCTAAAGAAAGAAATGTTAGAGAGCGAAAGACGCGATTAAAGCTACGAAATAAAATGTTCTCGGAGAAAGAAGGAAATAATATGGACCGATCACCGAGATGCGACTAGATTTTTTTTTTTTACCACCGTTTTCCTAAATACAATATATCGACTGTCAAAAGCGTTTCATTGAGGACAATATATTATAATACGTGTATGTACGTGTAATTGAACAACATTTTGGTTTTTTTTCAAAACGTTCACGATAACTCTCACGCTTATTAGCAACGCGTTTACATAATTTCTTTTTTTTCTTTTTCTTTTTCTTTTTTTTTCTTTTGTTCTGCGACTACTGTAATATTTATATATATATAAACTTTTGCTCATTCATATATATATATAATACGTACACCATCGGAATTCCCGTCAATCACTCTCCTTTATCGTATCACGTATAATACAGTTTGCGCAGTTGTTATATTTATAATATGCATCGAAGTGGTCAGAGAATTCTTTTTCGAGCTTTGAAATAATTTGTAATCTTTTATTCTTTTACCAACCTTGTTTTTATTAGTTGTATAAAATATTTCTGAAACGAGAATCTTCCTTTATCGAGATAAATTTTGGAAGACTTAAATTTTTCGAAATAGAATAAATTCCCGAGTAAAAAATATCTGTAACGTTATTCTGTATGATAATAATCTCGAGTAAATAAAACTCAAAGCTCATCTTAGAATTCACCGGTCATCTCGATATAGATTCCTGTTCAAAATTCTTAGGACATTTTCTATTTCTAATTAAATTTTAATATTCGATATAAATCATGAATTTTTTATTAAAAATATATCGGTATTGTTACTTCCTTTATCGTATAAATCTATCAACTTAACTTAATGTTATAATCTAAATTTATCCAATTATTTCGATCAAAATAGAAGAAATATCTTAAGATTTTTGAATAGGAGTGTAAATGTGGTATACATGTTTCATTTAATGTGTGTACATATGTATAAGTATATATATAATTACGTACAGAAGAGACAGACAAAACGTGAGACACATATAGGTACATATACACGACCGGTGATTATATTATCGTAATAAAAACGGGATTGAGGACTGCCTCCTAATTAGATCATAAGTATTATTTACATTTTCATTCGCGACCGTATAGAACTCGTTTCATCTCCTCGCTATACGACTTTCATCCCCCTCGATCGCCTTCCTCTTAACGTTTATAACTAACTGATGTAACAAGAGGTAATTGTCAGTTATGATAAGAGGTAATATGAGTAAATATTTCTCGTGATAATCTTACATCGCGTTTAACCTAAATGTCATTCGTAAAGCTCAATGATTCGATGATCATTTGATTTCATAGTGCTAGATATGAACAAGCAACGAGAAAACGAGTTAATCGTAATAATGGCACGTGTTCTTTTTCCTTCGAACACTTTTCGAAAAGGATAATTAATCAGAAGACAATGTGATTGAAAGTGTGCGTGATCGTTCTGTGATTCGAGAATTAAATCTCGAGTCGGAAAAATTCGGAATCGAAAGAGAGATTACCAAAACTTTTACACGATCTTACTCGAATTTTTTATTCGATCTGCAATCTCGCAATCGTGCACACTTATAATTAATCGATACACAATTGAATTAACTAAAATTTTAATTATTAATATAATTATTCATACGTCTCAAAACACGTGACGTTATTACGTTTAACTATCCGTCGATTAGAATTTCAACGAGTGCCTACGAGACTCGATATACAAAAAGAAATAATTGGAATGATGATTCGCCAATTTCAAGATGGATGTATGGATCCTGAACGAGTGTCGAGTATTATACAATCTTCTAATACTGTAGGCCGAGTTTTATCACGGTGTATAAGCTTTCTGGCCCTTTGACGATCTCCAAAGCTTCGGAATCATTTTTCTTTTTCATCGATTCCTTATTCGCTTCGCGAGAACTCGTCTATTTAAATCATAAATTTATACCGTACGAGTAAATGCGAGATTGACACACATTGGATGATTAATATTTCGATAACTCGCGAATCGAGACGAATATTTCTCACAGAAGGTGTTCGTTAAGTACAGAATCGAATATGATAAACTATTTGTGAATCGTGTAACGATAATACTGTTTAAGAAGGAATGATTATGATTAAATTACGTTGTGTTTGTTCGGCATTCACTCCCTCGACTCTCAATCATCCGTCTTGATTCGCGATCAAACGCTCCCTTCCACGATTTCGTTTTTTCCTTCGTTTTTTTTTTTTTTTTTCGAAGATTCGTCGCTACGACGGCGCACCAGACCCATATCCAAACCTCACTGAATCGACGAAGCTTAGAGGGACGACGAGTTGCTTTGCATTCACTCGTGCTGCAGTATCTCCTGATTTGAGGAAATAGAGAAACCTTTCAGATTGTCTGATCTTCTCGCATGGAGCGTTCCAAAGCGGTATTCTATCATTCTTACCAAATTTGAAATATCGAATATCAAATGACGATTGTTTGGACTTGTTCTCAACGAAATCGTTCACCATCGGAACATAATTTTTCAAGTCGAAATGATCGTTTGAAATCCTTCGCTATAACCGGCGAATTCTTGTCGACAGTGATACTGGGTTAATATGGAATTACTTGGCCGCCGCGTTTTACGTGTTCGACATTTTTTCGCGCGTTGCAAACTCTTGGCTAGACTCGTGAAAAAATTGGCTGAATCACAAGAGAATAATCGCTGATGCGTTCGTTGCGAATTTTAAGATGCGTTCGCACGCAGAAATTCGAGGATTCGTTCATTATGTTTCGAAATCGGAGTATCGTTCGGGTTGTCGCGTGGAAAAAAATGAGACAGATAGGTAATTCAACGACCTTCTTTTGTTTTAAATCGAATGATTCTTCTTTGTTTGAATTCTTTGTATGAAATTGAACGAGATCTTGAATTCAAAATGATTCTACAAAAATTTACGATTTAAATGATTTTTATAAATAAAAATAGATATCGTTTGTTTTAATATTCATTATGCAACAACTTAGCATCTAGAATCGCAAGCAAATAACTGTGAAAGGCTTCGTAGAATGATTTATGAAATCGATCATAGTCTCGAGGTATTTCGACCGATTTCGAACAAAGAATAGTATTTATACTAGACGCTATAATATTACGTAATTAAACTTGAAAAAAAAAATCGTTTCAAGGCTCGTCTAACTGTTCATGCAACTTCTTCTACAAAGTATTTATTATCATAAATACGATCGCTAAAAGAGTAAACTATATACTAAGATCAGTCCAAGATGCTCGAGAAGCAAAGAAAAAATCTCAAACAAAATCTCATGCATTATTTTCGAATGATTTTCATATTCGAATTATCTGTAAAGATGAATATCAAGTTTATATAAAAAATTTTCGCTTTGGAACGTTCCGTGCGCGATCGAGTCGGCGATCCTTTGTGGATTCGATACGATAAATAGGGACTCGACACAGAAGCGATACGTAGACGAGACCAAAGACACGACGACAATTTGATACGAGGACAGAACTCTTTCTGCCCGCTCGTCATCGCGGAGCAGATGTCACGCGTCGTCGTCTGGGGGCTGTTTATTAGTTACAAAAAAACCCTCGGCCACTCGGGGGAAACATTTACACAATCCGATCGATCGGTCACCGGGCTTTGATTGCACACTTACCGCCTCGAGGAATCGGTCGAGGAAGGCACGATAATGATGATTAGAGATCGTGAGACTGGTTTAATAAAATAATCATATTCAAAAAGAAATATATTTTTCTTTTACGTTTTTGTAATAACTTATTTTCTAATTTTCATTGGAATTAATTCTGCACAGGATACAAGTTAAATTTCATCCTTGAATTTTTATTTATATACTTTTTATATATATTTAACTTAACGAATAATTATATATAATATATAGAATTATATATATAGAAACATTGATAAATATTTTGAAAGATAATGTAATAAATTGGCCAGTCAAAGAAGAGTTAATTTATATTTCATATTTGAAGTAGAGATAACATTAATACGATCTCTGGATGTCGCTAGCGTACCTTTTCGAGTGACCAATCGTTCAAAGCTACGATTGCCAACTTACCATTTCCGTAGTGAGACTGGCTAGCGCCTCCTCGACAGTGGTAGCAATCCTCCCTCCATCATCCTGACGCCCCCTGATCGGTGTGGTCGACCAACCTAAAATTATCGTTAATCGTCATAGTGCAATAAACAGATCAACATGTTGCAACTGCTCGATCACTGGAGTGTAGATACGTGTTTGTCTAGTGATAAAATTCGTTATCTATTGAGAAGAAATTTTTAATTGATGATGTGTTCCTCTCAAAAGAACCACCAAGAATACATTAACAATGCGAACTTAAGTTTCTTAAAAAATTGGAGCGTTTAAAAGGAAAAGAATCGTTATTATTATAGCCATGGATTTAATTTTTCATTTCAATTCAAATGCTTCTTTTGAGATCTTATAATTACCAAGATGCATCGATAAGAAAAAAGCGTGCATCGTTCTAATTAATATCATCAATCTAAACAGTCTATGAGTGACAAAAAGCGTGTGTAGCTATTTTATATAACGGTGTTGTATGCGAGTGAAACGAAAAATTGAAGAAAAAGAAAAAAAAAAAAGGAACAGAGAAAAAGAGAGAAAAAAGTTGAAACTTATCTCGAGAGAACATCGGTTCTAGGCGATGCCCGTTCTTGCTTACGAAGGAACCATAGAAGAAAGAAACGTGTATAAGAGGTTATAATGAGAGAGTGAGTTCTCGTGTATATTTTTCTTTTGCAATTGTCGCTTTATTGTCGCTCTCATTGTCGAGAAAAGAAAATGTTCGAGTGTTACTTGACAAGACATTGAGATCATCTAGACAGGACTAAGAAAAGACGGTTGTTCGATTGTACTTGTCAAAGAGAACAATTAATCCATTTCATTATAACTATTTAAAAAAAAGAAAAAAAACGACGAAGATGCTCGTCATGTTTTACACGCATTAATCATCATTATTAATCATCGTTCATTTCAATTTATACGACGAACACCTTCGTACGCGACACACGATCGAAGTATTTAAGAATATTTCTTTCGTAAACACTTACAAATAAATAATAATCTCGAAATATGATTTAAAACGCATAGGCAATAAGATTAAATTTAGGCACTGAGTTGTTGTCGTTCATTTTAACTTTTCATTCTTTTTCTTGTTTCTATAATCAATTTTTGTTACATGATATCTTTTCAACGAGAGACAAAAATCGAACGAGAATTTAAAAAGCATGCAACAGAAACGCTTTTAATTTTTTCATATAAATTAGTAAATTAGTAAATTACAACGATGATATCACGATAGAATTAATTTCGTTAAATTATAAAGTAAAATAAGAAGTGTACCGTAACAAACGGTCGGTCTAACTTAATTTGCTCTAAAACCTCTTTAGTTCCGGATTACGTAATATGTTGGTACGCAAAATGTAAGCGATGTAGGTGATTAATAATACGTATTTGTTTCACGATTACGCACAAAATCTACCGTGTTTTCTCGACGATTATACTTTACATCCGAATTAACGCTAACTAGTGCATGGTCTACGTATTTTACACGCTTATTAACACGGGAAAGATTACCCGTTTACAAACAGCAAAAATAATATATTTCGTATAAATGATTATAACAATAGTTGGAATTATATATTGGACAACGATGATGTGATGACCGACAACGATATACTTTCGCTCGTTTTAGAACACTACCTTAAATGGTGGCACGTTAATCAGACTTCCGGTTTCTGGCGCGAGCGTCACGTTGATTGCCCGTAACTCGATATGTATACTTACTGAAAGATATACTCGATTTAAAAATACAGTATTACAGTTAAATTAACGGATTCGTTTTGTTGTTTAATTATCCGAGACTTGCGAGAAAGTAATAATAAATGATAATTATATAGCGTGTCTAAGATCTATTTATTGCCTGATGGAATCTTTTTTTCTACTGTGAACGACATTCGAAGCCAATGCCTTTCTTTCTACAGCGAAATTCAATGGAACTTATTCTACAAAAGCATCGATATTTAAAGAAGAAGCAAACTGAAAATAATTTCGGACCTACTTAAATAATTTCTTTTGATGTACAGGATGTCCTACTTAAATATCATCAACTTAAATATCGTTAACTTGATCAAAAATTGTGTTGAACTATATTTAAATTCATATAACAAAATATATAGAGATATTTACATTGTAAAATTTCTGTCTATCTTTTTAATAAGTGTTCTAAGAAGAATAAAAATAAAAAAAAATTTTTATCTACAGAATTGTTATGCAAAGTTAATTTATATGGTAATAGAGTTCAATATTTGTGCAACATAATTTTTGATAAAGTTCCAGAAAATTTCTAACGGGCAAATAATTTAATCTCGCTTAAACTACATAAAATAAATCAAATCAAATCCAATTTCTTATAATCTTTCAGTTTGAACATAAAACATAATATAATTTCACCTTCTCGACAAGCCAGCATAAATGATAGGGCAATCAATGGAACGGTCACGCTTGATGCAAATCCTTTCGCCACGAAGATCGAAGAAGAAGAAAGAGAAGAAGGAGAAGAAGAGTAAGAGTAAGAAGAAGAAGAAGAAGACGAAGACGAAGAAGAAGAAGAAGAAGAAGATGAAGAAGAAGAAGACGAAGAAGAAGAAGAAGAAGAAGAAGAAGAAGAAGAAGAGAACGAAGAAATCCTCGAGGCACGTAGTAGCCTTCAGGTGGCGTAGTAGATAGTGAGCGCGTATGGAAACTTACCTGCATCACCGCTGCTGGAACTCTCAGTGAAGGACGGTGTGCCCTCTGTCCAGGTGGGCGTCGAGCCCTCGGCGCTGCCCGCGGGTGGTGTCCAGGTGAATCCACCACCTCCTCGACTGCTTCCACCACTTTCCACGCTCAACGACGACTTTGTTTCCCTTCCGCCACTTCCGCTTCCGCTACCGCTGCTTTCCAAATGCACGTCAGATATGCTGCAATATATTTGTTGCATTTTTTAAATAGATGTTGATATTTAAAGAAAAGAAATTAAAAGGCAAATATTAATTTGACTCACCTCACGGCATCGTGATAAGTCTTTGTAAGAGTGACATGGTGAACAACCTTATTCTGTTTCGATTGAGCAGTGCTCAGGCTGCTCGCTAACATTGTGGTCGGTGCACCCTGTTGAAGTTGACCACCAGAAGCCAAGGTTTGGTCGTTTGAGCGCACTGCATCGTCAAAGGGCGGGGGCGGGGTAGAGCAAGTGGAGGGAAGGGTGCCACCTACAAAAAGCGCACTACAGTTAGCCCTAATGAACACGATATAGTGTGCTTGTTTCGTTGTCAAGGGTTCTAAGGAGAGGATCGTTAGCAGAGGAAGGCCTCGTAAAAAAGAGACCGAGAAAAACAAAGTGTTTCGAACAAATCTTGCCAATTCGATATTTTTTTACATTGCATTTAAGCAAACAAATAAATACTCGTTGTGTGTTATATTCTACCTTGGTCTGTATAAAAAAAAAAGATATTTAAAACATAATAATCCATGATAAAAATTTAGCACATTTTTTTCAAGTTAATCGTGTTGAAAAATACGTGTATAAAATTATAAATTATTCTGTCTTTACGGGAAGCAATTGAAATGGGTTACCTACTCGACAGCTGTGTTATCAGTGTCTCAATACAATAAGCAATCACAAAAAAAGAAATTACATCGGGAGCATTTCTAACGTTTATCAAACATACATGTGCTAATTGCGATTCTGTTGCACAAGCGTACACTTCAAATTTTCAATTATTTTTCTATCGTATCGACTTTGGCAGAAACTCGTTCAAATACGGGATTAAAACGTTAGAAATTGATCAACACTTCCTATTGAAGTCAGTTCGAATAAGCCATTCCAACTTGTAATGGTACAACAGTAACACACGTTCTAGAAATTACTACATCTATTTGCGTATCTACAGAAGTGCACAAACAGCAAACTACTTTTAGCCAGCATGACATAAGGCGATATTTTGTTCGAAGAAAAAGGTATTTGCTTCATAACTACAATACACTCGTGTGAACGTCCCTTTATATCTGTGATACAGAGAGCACACCACACAAACACACCGACAAAACTCTGTGTTCCGTTCAGATTTTATATCGACGATATTTCAACGGAGTTAAAAATATTTAAATATGATTTTTTTTTTAGACATAGACGTAACTATTTGTAAATTTCTTAAGAAAACTTTAAAGATTTTCCGTTCTTTCTCGTCTTGCTGTACATCCACAAACTTGTTCAATAACTAGCGCTAAATTTTCGCAAATATGTATAATACAGTATCTATATCAAATTTTATTAGATAAATATTTATCAATTAAAATAAACAAAGTTTATTTTATTAGAAAGAAATGCAATAACAATTTTTTAAAATTCTTTTTTTAATTACTTTATAAGTTACGTCTATTCTTTATCCTAACAACGGAGATCATTATGCATGCAGAAATACATTTCAATCGGGACAAAGAAAGAAACCAATTCTTACACATACTACTTTTTCAAATTTAAAACCTTTTGTATAGTCGAGGATAGTCGATCTCAGCGTTTCGAGCGGTACCTCATCGATGCCATAAAATCGATATTAATACAGTATCGAGCTTATAGTATACGATAAAACAGTAAACGACAAAGTGCATAATCTAGTGGTAGAAAATACGCAAACATTAAAACAACTAACTTCTTCGTTCTCACAGAAGTAACAGTGGAAGAAAAATTCTCGTTTCTGCATGAACCTTAGTTAAAACAGGTATTTTTACAAAACTGATACAAGTGAGAGATCGAGTGATGAAAGATGAAAAAAAATAAAAAGTAAACTTAAAGTGTTTTTGCGCATGCAAAAGGAAGAAAAGTTTTTGTAATATGTTGTAGTGTTTTAAAGTCCTTAATTGTATCTTCTTCCCACAAATTCTTCTCACAAAATTCCATCTTGAAAATATTTTAAAATTGATTCCCTTATGCTTGGTCCCTTTTCGATGATTATCGAAAATAGATAGTGCTTTTATTTCCTCATTGATATTACGTTTTCTTCAATCTATAGGTGTACAAGAAGGAAATATTTGGCTTTAAAATTTTTGGAGAAGAATGCTCTTGCGATTTATCAAGATCAGTCTGTTTTAAAAATTTAGGTGTTATTTCTTTCTCCATTTTCAATTCACCTATAGACTTGGATCTTTGTTTATCAGATATCTGATTCTTCAGTAAATTCGCGTCAATCTTATTAGAAATTATCGATCTCGTGTCATCTTTGTCTCTTTCAGCATTCACTTTACTCTCGGTTGTAATTTGGGAAGAATAAATCGTTTCCTTTAACCTCTTCGAAGCTTCCTCGTCAACTTTCGTAACCAAGAACGTTTTTTTATCGCCTTTAAGAACAATCGGATATTCCTTATTTTCCATCATTTTTACATCATTCTCTCTCATTGATTTTCTCAAATATTCATTATTCCCATAATCAAGTTTCGAAGATGTAGTTCCATATATCTTCTTCTTTCTCTCAAAATTCTCACAATCGTTCACTTTTATCGGATTAACAATAGGTTGCACCCTGGACAAAGGTTTAGGAGCCAATTTCTTCTTCCTCTGAGCAGACTTTTCTCTGATTTTCTTCAGCACTTTACTATCTCTTCTACGCTCCATAAGCTTCTGAACATCGATCTTCTTCATCTCGGTAACGTTCTCCTTTTTAACTATCGTGGCGATCGATCTGTCCACTCTGGAAGCCTCGATTCTATTATCCACGATCCTGTTTCGGTCCATGCATTGCGTCAACGTCATGATCGAGGTCTCGAGCTCTCTCTGCTTTCTCTTCATCCGCTCGTAGTACGTCTCCGAGTGCTTCTTGTCCTTTCGCGACATCTTGTAGTTCATTAGCTCCGGTCTAGACGCGGGGTTCAAGAAGTACGTGAACTTGGCCATGTGCTCGGCTCTCGACTTAGGATCTCTTCTCCACTCTTCCGTCATCACACCAGTTTCCGGTATGTTTTTCTCGGAATCGATCGGGACATTCTTCTCCCTCTTAAAGTTCCCTCTCTCGGGCCTGAACGGATACGGGCTAGTCCTGATCACGTACGAGTCGTCCACCTTCTCTATGCTCATGAATTCCTCCTCCTCCTCGTAGATGTTCTCGATCGGCCAATCGTTCCAATACATCGGAGACCGTTCCTCGTGGATGCTATCGAAGGCTGCCGCCACGTCGGCGGATCGATCGTGGAACGCCAATTTGTCGTATCGTGGGGGTAGATAGGCAGGAGTACGGGCATGCAACACGTTGGATGTACTACAGGTGGTGGATGTTTCGGTGGCTGTAGTATTGTTATAGTCGGAGTGACGGTTTGCGGTGTTGTTAGCAGTCGTGGTGAACGAGGATGTGGCGGTACCAGCGGCGGCGGAGAAGAGAGAAGAGGTACACGTAGCGGCAGAGTAGTTAGTAGTAGTAGAAGTAGTGACGGCGGACGCAGCAGAAACGGTAGATGTAGAAATGTAATCGGGTGTGGGGAGGTGGTGCAGGATGCTCGAACTTTCATGCAAGCGGTATCTCGTGATTATGGCTGCTTCGTCACCTCGGCTGGACGTCATCGAGGACGTGGAGGTGGCCGTTCCGGGGCCACGGTGCTCCTCGGA